TGAAGAGGTCAGTAAATCGTCTGGGTATGTTTGGAGCTAGCGTACATCAGCTTGCCAGATTTTGACATTACCATAAGAGATTTCATGATGCTCGGCAGTTCATCAATGTGCAAGGGAAATAGCAGAGAACCAAAGATTCCTCTCTGTACCAATTTCAGACGGATAGCTGAGAAATGATCCTTACTCGTCGCTTTCTACTAATAGAGGACACTTTGATTCAGACAAGTAGATCGTCAGTGATTCCGAAACTTTCAAACTCATCTCAGAGCGTTTAACCCTGTTCTGTTTTCTCAGTTGAACGCCGCTGCATTGGGCCTCAGTACGTACTGCTGAACGGCCTCCCGAATTTACTCCTTCATAACCATGTTCAGCACTTATCCAGATATGTTTCCTTCTTCAGCCCCAAAAACGTTTTCCAGTGCAGTTTCCGGTGAACTATTTGGCAACTTAAACCTCTCGCTGTCTAATATAAGGGATAATGGTGTTACTTCGGAAAACGCCTTGCGCTGACCTTTCTGAATGCACTGAGAAGGCCATGCAGTTGGGATACACCAAAACTGAACTGCATGACTGCTCATTATAGGGTAAACGAAGACGATGTGCAAGTGTTGTGTGGGAAGTTAGGTCAAGATTTCACTGGTCTTTCGTAAATATAGGATGCCGAGTGAAAAGTTGGCTTTAGACGCAAGTTACACTTGAGCAAATCTCGGCCCAGTTGAAATAAATTCTAGCATAGGAGTCTGATCAGATCGTCTATAGGGAAATAATCAAAATCCACGTCGTTATAACAGTAAAATTTGGGCTACGGGGTCGATTATAATTCCATTTTAGTCTGTTTATTAGAAGCACACAGGAAAGAGTTATCATTTACTGAGTCATGTTCCGGGCAAAATTCATCGTCTATGTTAATGTCAAGTAATCCCGTAACTATGAGACAAAAGTCTATATAGTTTTAATCTTCTCTCCCTTGTGACAAGGGTAGCCTAATTTCCCACATATCTGAAACAGATGTAGAATCATTCCTATTACACACATTGGGCGTCGACCGGATAAATAAAGATTCGACTGTCAATCTTTGTTTATCGAATTGATTCGGTACCTGTCCCAAATATGCGGAAAAATTCTGCCACCTTTGTCACAACGAAGAAAAAACTAGAACTGTGTAAACCATTCCCAAAGTCTAGATGTTACGTGATATGGAGGTGGACAGTGAACTATTTCCGAAACGTTATCCAGTAAATGACACTGTTTGACTGAGTGATACTTCTGATAAACTGCCAAAAGTGAACTCAAGTCCTACATTATCTTAGATGTGTAACGCACCTTCTTGGCACCGAAATGAAACTGGGGCTAAAACGAGTGGACTAAGTTAAACTGACTAAATACTGGCCAATTAAACTTCTAGCTTCGAGCATTTCAAGTTTCGTTTTAACGAGTGAACATCCAAGTGGGCTGCGACGGCATTTTGCGCTCTCTTTGTAATCGTTATCACGCACATCCCCAGGCCCCCTGCTCGACCGTATTGCCCAGATAAGTTGGATTAACTCATTCTCAAAAATCATCGTATTCATTTTTGCTTAAATATATTACTGTTTCCAGTGTATTCATAATTAACGGTCTTTTTGATTTGTGTTTCCTTATCAGTACTTGCACGTTAGTTAACGTGCTGATTAGGCAGGTAATAGAGGACATCGAGTCAAGTACACCTTGTCAAGCTTTTCGCAATAGTAACACGTCCAGTCTCCTACGTAGCAGTCCAAAAGTCGTACGGTTTATCTCGGCCTCTGTTTTGATTTACCTACCAGTCTCTCAACTCCAGTCTCTTACCTGTACTAACTTTACTCACTTCCGGCTTATTCAAGAATACCCAGTCCTGGAATATCACTTGATCTCTTTCAGCTAATATCGGTAAGTGATGAGGCCAACAGGAATATCCCGTTTTTGCCGTGCCCTAAAGCTTCTTAATTTATGCAATCCTCAGCCGTTAAATGGAAACACAAAAAACACTCACCTATCCTTTTATATGCCGGCGATTCAAAATATAGAGGAAAATATGTAGGCTAGAGGATCCTAGGGCACTGCAAAACTAGCTGCTGCAGCTGGAGACCTGGTCACGTGCCAGTGGTTTAATCCTCAACATACATAAACGCAAGGCGATATATCGTCGTACGTAGATAGCGATGAAAACCAGCCACACCCTAAACAAGCGCACAATTGCCAGGTTATCCGCGGAGAAGAACCAACTTAAGAGGATGGCGACAAAATCGGGGGCCATCATGGACTTTTGCAAAGGCAGCTTTGGGTGCCAACCTCAGAATTGTTTCTCATGTCATTTAAAAACAATGTTAGACTACACCTAGAGGTATTCAACATGGCAGACACCTTTCCACTAGAAAAAGACACGAGTACTCTCGAGAAGGTACGGGTAAGGGCAGAAAGGTCGGTTGTCAGGCAAATGGGTGAAAAGCACGCACAACGCCTTAGACAGGTCAGCTTGTTCACATTAAGCTATCAAAGGAAAACAGGCAACCCAACAACTACCTGCAAGATAATTCACCAAGTAGGCCGCTCGAATTGGTCAGTACTATCAACCAAAAACCAGGCGTCTCGTAAGTATCATCACCATAGAGCAAAGACGACAGTAAAATCGGACTTCTTACGCAGAGCGTATGCCTTGTAGGACTCTATATCGACGCAAGTATCCATGGCCTCATCAGGCAACTCCTTCAAACGACCACTGGATAAGTATGTGAGCTTAAATGGCTTAGCATGAACACTAGTCCGCAGCAATTAGAGGTATACTTATCCCCTGCTGTGTCCCCCAACCCCAGTCTCTGAAACGAGAGGCATCTTGTCTCCATTTTATTACCAATGACACCCATTTTTCTGTAGGTACTTTTCACTTCCCTTTTTCTCATTCCCCACTCACCAACCCTGTTTCTGTCTCCTTTTAAGTAGTGCTCAATACTTACTTGCAGGTGCCTACAAACAAAGGAATTGCATGGGGTTAGTTGATCCTATAGGCAGCTGCGTTGTTCACCCAGACAAACCAAACAACAACTTGCAAGAAATACCTTCAAAGAGACAGTCACTACCTCCAAAGCTATAAGCAGGAAGAACACAAAGACCTCTGAAACCACCGTAAAAGTGTTACCGAACAAAAAGAATTGAGCCTCTAGACCAAGAAATGAAAGCTTAAAAACTACAAGTTTCCTCACACTGTTGATATTGGATGTAGGATCACGTAATTTAATCGCAGGAAAACCACTTTCAATAGAGAAGCCTGACATAATGATGAGAAATAAGCCTTTAAAGCTAGAAGCAAGAACTTCAAAACTGTTAACTTCTTCAGTTCACACTATTAATGGTCAATCACAAATAGAATATCAGTGTAGATGAAATCAAATAATAAGCCAGCTATGCATGATTAACGTACGGCAATAAGTCTTTTCGCAGCATCATTAGGATAAAACTGATCATATCCATGAGGAACGCAAATCAGAGGCTTTCCTACATTTTTTGTTTTACTTTGTCAACGAAAGTTTTTAGATTCAACCTTAGGTTTTGTCCGCTGCATTCGGTTTACTCTGCTGTTGCTGTAAGTGTTGGTAGCAGGTTTCGTAGAGGTATTCTTGTGTGATGTTCTTGGTATTTTCACAGTTAAAGCTGAAATCGACTCACCGGATGCCAGTGAAATGTTCGTACTTAAACCTTCATTCTAGTAGCGAAAAGTGTTTGGATTAATCAAAAAACCCCATGTTGCAGTCAACCGCTCGCAGACGGACAGCCTGTTGTATGACGGTACTGTCCAAGCAGATTCCATCCTCAGCCCAAACCGAGGAAATCGCATTTTCCCCGAATGGGCTGGAGTGCGCCTTGAGGATATCTACTCAGCGTAGCCCACTGAACCACGTTGTTAGCCGGATGGTTTTTAGCTAGAAGAAGGTTAGACATGGTCAGACTAAAGTGTAGCATCAGTTGATAAAGGTTTTGACTTTTGATCTAGGTACTTTAGCAGATTCCATACTTTGTGGTTGAAGTCAACATGGCAGCCGAAACTAATGGTCAAAACTGTGGGTAATATACTTCGATTGCAGTGGTGCCGGTGCATTCAAGTCTTGCCTTCTTAATCGTGCTGTAGCATTTCTTTATTTGTCCCACAACAACTTTTCTCTTCCAGTGGTTTTATATAACTTTTGGTTTCCATCTCCCTACTTTTTACTTTGTTGTCGTGTATCTGGATGTGCTGAAGGAAGGTATGTCTGCTCTGGCCATGACGCAGGAAATCCATGTCCTTTGCTGTTATTGACTGATTGATTAGACAATTGCATTTATTCCAGCTCTAGTAAGCTTGTCAAACTCACGTTCATCTTAGTGTATGAAAACAATGACAAGGGTCTGTTTCATCTTCAGTAGTGGGCATGATGAAGGTTTCATGTATTAGGTGGGATTCTCATATTATGACGTCGTATAAATTGTTCTGATTCTCGTATTTATTCAGTGATATATTGGTTCAGAGATTGTATGGCTGTTGAGATGATTACATTCGTTTATGGTATAAGCGTCTGTTATAATGGTTAGAGGTAGTACATATTATTAATCTATGAAGGCAGTTTTAAATTGGGCTCAACAATCAAATATCTGTCCATTTATGGAATATAGTATCTTTGTGTCGGTTTTCTCTAAACGCTTCTTGATAGTGTTGTGTTTTTTGAGCCGTATTTTTTATTCGTGAAGCTTTCGTCGTCATTCTAGACAACGTTATCTATAAAAGCTTCAGGAGTCCTCCTGCTGAGCCACAAGTGCGTGACTGTAGAGCCCGAAAATTGTCTGCTTGGGGCCGGTCACATGCGGCGTTCGGCATGTTCGATATTTTATTTTCGTGATTTGGAATCTGACTTTGAACTTGTGTCGCAGGTGTCAGCATAATGTGAGATAGAGAGTGCACTATTTTTGAAATCGACTTTATTTTAACCCTGGCTCTCATTGAGTGGGCTTTTGACTAATTTTCCTTTCTCTCTTCACCTTTCATCTTATTGCTTTGTTGCTTTATATACTGATATGAGGTGTGGTAACTTTGAGTGTTATGCAGTAATGTCTGGTCCCATGGTACTGATAAAGATTATTTGACGGTGAGTCGTATTAAAATTCAAGTATTCGGGGAAAATGTTTGAGAATCATGCATTTAACTTCTTTAATTTTCATCGTCAGATAGTAAAAGATCCATTCAGCCATTGTAAGTTTTACACTCCTAAAGTTGAAATGCTTGTCATTTGGCTGTACATCCACAGGCGTAGGTACCCAGTTAGTCACGCATCATGTGACCCGATGCAACTTGACTACACATGGAGATCGACAACCAGATGCTTAATCGTGCGACGCATTATGAATTAAGACACTTGTGTAGCTGGTACACTGACTAACCATGTTGAATTCTTGAACTATAATATACTTAGATAAACACTGGTAAGCACAAAGGTAACGCGCTTTCTATTTCAAATTGCAGTTATTGTTCTAAGCTGTTTGTATCGTTATAACTATAATTCACTGTTTTGTAATACTTTCAGATCTGCTTAGCACGCATATTGAACAGCTGTTTATCCAATTGTTTTAATGCGAAAAACCACTTGAAATGAACTACTTTCAGTGAACTCAACAGATAAAGAAACATTTCGATTAAATATTGTAATATTTATCTGTAAAGAAAACAAATATCTTACTGGACACTATCTTTTCCATTGGGTGCTGTTTTCTTCCTATCCTCCTAATATGCGTCATCTTCAAATTTCTCCGCATAGTAGTAATAGCCATTGCTGTCAGTCATTGAAACATTATCGTGTACTATTATGGAAAGACTACCTATTGCGTCGTCGAAGTTTTTGGCTTATCTTAGCTGAATTAATGTTTTGCTTAGTATTTGTTATTGTGATTGCTGTTATCCGTGGACGTTATTCAGCTGAAAATATGTCATCATGTTACATTCAAAGTCAAAGTATGACAAGTATGGGATTACTGACATATATGCAATCGCTTATTTGTAATTTTAACTATACATGCTATGATAAAAATCCACAGAGTTTTGTTACATTGAACGGTATTGCTCCGCTTATCTACTTTCTTGATAATGTAACACATTTAGTGGATAATCCGGTGTTTATTAAATGGTAAGTATCAGTTGTTATAGTTTTTAAAGATAAAATCAGATAATCAACCTTTTTCTTGGGGATATGATGATTTAAGTTGGCGGAAAATCTGACTTTCCATGAGTTATTCTTCTGACTTTTCATCGGAAAAGCTATTATATCCACATATTAACTTGTTTTAGGTGTTACTTTGAAGTGTATTTTGATTATTTCCTTTCTTATAAATCTCGCCTGGAGAGCATATCACCCATCACAGTTACTAGATTCATACGTTTGTTCCATGTTTTGATCCGAATAGTTTGAAACAACCAGTAATGGTGAATGGTGGGTATTGTTAAACTATTTAAACTGAACTGAACTTTAGAGTGGACTCAGAAACCTTGAGCACATTCGTACAATGGGCATTAAGCCATACCTCTTGTGTGGGAGCTAGTGATACTACCTCGACAGAAAGAACAGGACTCAAACCCGTGACCCAGTGATTGTAAGTAGTCTCCTTAAGCTAAAGGTCTACTGCTCCAGAACCAAAGTAATCTATTCTGAAAGTGATTATGCACGACCCAGAAACCTCAGTTATTATGGTTTCAACAGTCATATTAGCTAGCTTACCATTGCCCATTTTGTGGTCCCACTACACACAACCAGCTTTGCATAGTTACTCATTTTCACATGCTTCTAATGAGATTCAGTTAAAAACAGTTAGGAAGACTGCTTAGGTATTATGTCGTAGATGTGTTGGTTGGAGTGGTTTTACTAAAACCTGATTATTTTAACACGCCACTGGATATATTCTAGATTTACTTTGGGTATCCACTAAGACGTCGTGCACGATGGTACACCTTTACATACTATTCCAAGTTTAAGCTGACGAACTCCAACTCATTGTCTGAATAGTTAACGGGTTTTGCAAGGAAACCTGAAGGTCCTGAGTTCCATCTTAGCGGGGGGGGGGAGGTTGTGTTTGCGTACTGCCGAGGAGTTTCAGACTAGGGCGGAACAGCTGTGGAGTGCTCCCAGGCTTCTAATGGTTCTCCAACTGATGCCAATCCGTGGTGAATACCACCTTGAAAAGCAAAATGTTTTAGCGCATAATTGTTTTGACTGCGTATGACATTTTGTGACTAAAAGGTTCTTACTTTTTGTGCAGCTTTTGGTCATCGAATTGTTTCCCTTCGCATGTGATATAAAGCAATGTCAATATTCACTGAGAACACCAATCTGGATATCACTTTACCATCTGCCACTTATTTAGGCTGTGAGGCATGGAATGAAGCGGTTATAGGTTTTCGACCATAGTTGTCTTCGTGACATTGCTCACATTTGGTAGAATCACTGTATCAGCAATGTAGAGGTAAGACGAAGGGTACTAGAAAAAGAAGGCAAGTCAGTCGATGAGGTTGTGAACCTTCATCGAATGAGGAAGCTTGGACATGTACTGCACATGCCGAGCCACAGTCTGCATCAACATACCATACTAGAGGAGGTTTGATTAGTTTTCAAGAACGCTCAGGGTGGTCAGACGAAGACGTGGCACCAATTGATGAAGTCCCTGACAGTTGGTCTGAGGTGTGTGGGGAGGTATAGACTACCTGTCTGGGGTCCACGAGACGATAAGAATCAACGGTTAATGACTGTTTGTGATGTGGCTCAAAGTCGGTCAGAATGGCGTTGATGTATTCACTTTTTGACATCTAAAGCTGGAATATTTATACTAACTTTTATCTTCAGACTGTATATTCTTTCGCACCGCTTTGTCGACTTTGATATCATTCTTCTTCTATCTACTTGTTCTTGGTATAATGCTGTGAAGCGTGGGAACTTGAACGGATGCACTTATGTGCAAGATTCTAGGTTGATTTCGTCTGTCTGTCTGTCACTTTCTTCAGAAGTTCCATCAACCTTATATTGGTTATGAATGAAATTTCATTGCAGATAAAAAAAAACTTGTTTTTCATTTGCTAACTTGTGATATCTTTGTCGCTGGTGATATTTCAGACTACCTATCAGAAAATGAGTGTGATGCAAAGCATTCCACTCTCACTTTTTGTGAAGCAGTGAAATAGTGCAGTTAAAAGTAGATGACATTAAGAGTATTACACGTTTTGATCATAGCTGTCTCCTCTAGGCCTACTCGTATGTATTGACGTCACGGAGTATGCACTATTACAATGATGTATAGGGAATTATGAATAAAAGTTGGTTTTTCGGTAGATTCGTTAATCTCCAATTACTGAAATGGTTGCGGCACCCGTCAGGTATTCAGAGCCAACAACTAACAAAAATACACAATGCTAACTGAGTTAGGATTAGGTTGGAAAAATGGTAAAGGTGAACAGAAGAAGATTAAAAAAATCTCTGACGTCACTGACCGTTGATCAGAGGTATAAAATTTCTAGTTGGCGTCTTTGAGATCTTAGCAACCAATCATTGGAGAGTTCCCATGACGTTGTTTAGAATGAATCTCAGTGGTGAAGATGTTTTCCTCTATTAACTTCTTTGAAACTTAGGAAGACTTTGTGAACGTCTACCAAACTGCTATCTTTTTTCTCACATTCTTTTTCCATTGTTCTTCTATTCATTATGTTTATTTATTTTTCCATTTTTCTTCTGTTCTCTGCGTCTTTCTGCGTTTTCGTAGTGTTGTGTCTTGAACTGTCATACGTCTGTACAGCGATCTTTCTATCTGTGATATTCAGCCAGTAGAATATTTATTAGGATATATTTGTCCTAATATGGATGTTTATAACCGGCATCAGTAGTTCAGTTGTAAGCATACTAGACTAAATCTTCATATCAAACATTTTTATTCCATTTGTCGTCTTTTTCGTCTGGTTTTTTTTGACTGCTTACTATATTATCGTTTTCTGCTTATCTACCCTATCTTTCAACCTCCTACCTCGTCGTACTGATGAGCAACGTAGCAACTGAGACCATTTCGTAGTAATTTTCAGTTCCTCTGATGATAATGATATATGTCAGCATTTGTGAGGATGATACAAACCCATTGATTAGATTAGAAAATACTTTCGTCTTGAAATATTTTACATAGAACCTGAAGAATTATTCACACATCTTTATGGTAGACAGTAAACAATAACTATTTTATGAGGACTGCTCCAAACTTGATAAAAATTTGTGGGGTTCGAAGTCGGTGTCTGCTCGTTGAAGGTGGAGTGTCACAGTTCCATATTGTTTAACACTCTTGACATATGGTTCAAAATGAACATGTATACAGTTAGTCATCTTGTGACTTTCTTCTATACTCTGGTTACACAAAAGGAATCTTTATTGAGCCTATTTTAATTTGACTCTTCCAATATTCCTGTTACTTCTTGTTGTCATTCCTTTTGTCATTACTGTATATTTATTCTGTCATCTCATAGTAGACATGTTATACCGAATTCTATATTTTCTACTACGCATAACCAAGTGAGTTGAGATAAATTTTTTATCCAGTTATGTAGTTAACTCAATGAGTAAATAAGATCAAAGATCATATCATGTATAATCGCATCGATCAGCCTAATTTTTAATGTTTAACACTCATGAATTGTGACAGCTTAATTGATTTTGATCTGGTGACCAGTTTGCATAGTATTTTGTTTACTTCTTGTTTAATTACCATTTAACTACTTTAGTGTTTCTCAAGCAGTTGTTTTTATAAAACTTTCAGCGAATGAAACATGATTGTTTAGGTGATACAATTAGATGTTAGTGAAAACAACAGGTAGCTGATAATTAATGTAATCATTGCCTAGTTAATGGATAAGATAGTTAAATAGTTGATGAGTTTGCAGGCTTTTACTCACTGAGAAGATAGGCGTTTGTTGTTAGCTTATAACTACTAGGAAGCAAAGTGTTTTCCTTAGTGTAAGTGTTTGATGGATGATCCTTCAAAGTCTTATAAAATCAATAAATGGATGCGTGAATCATTGTAGAACATTGCACAGAAGTGTATCACTTCGATTTGCTAGATTTCACAGTAGTACAACGAAAGGAACCGGACTAAAAATGACCAATAAAATCTCATAAAGTATATAGAAGGAGACCAAATAAATCAATGTCAATGAGAGTCTGTGTTATGTAGGTGGTTTTTGGACTCTTTGATGTTCGTAAGGTGCACAGATATTCAGCTGAAGTTATCCACCCTAATTCTCGGTTGGATATTAATCTTATTGCTAAATAATACCAGATAAGATCAGCCACACAGGAGATAGTCAACATAAAGTCATGAACAGAAGTGCATCGGTTCAAGTCCCTCATTTCACATTAGTAAATAAAGAATAAGTGGATAGAGGAAGACTGATGTCATTGTAGACAAAGGTGTATACGGGGGAAAGGACATTTAAAAATGAAGGTTAGTGAAGACAGTGAAGCTTAAGAAGAAGTCAAACAGTGAATACATCTAACCGATTTTCCATCATGTCATCAGCAGTCACCAACCACTATTTCTTATCGTCTCGTCCACCCCATCCAAGTAATCTACATCTCCTCTAACGAATGAGACCAACAGTTAGGAACTGCATCGACCGGTGCTAAGTCTTCGTCTGGCCACCTTGAGCCTTCTTCCAACCTAGTCCAACTCCACTCAGTATAGTACGATGAGGGAGGGGATGCTTTAACGTGTTGAGAACATTTCCAAACCATCTCAGTCGATGAAGATTAGCAACCTGACCAATCGATCTTGCTGTTTTGCCTAGTATCCTGCATGGACGTGCATACGGTTGCTTAGTTTCGAGATACTAGTTGCTACATCAGTGAAAATGTTCTTATGTCTCATGAAAAAGGGTAGTGCATCGTTAGACGTTTAGTTTTATAGGAAATTAGGTTTTAAAGCATATGATTATTTGATGCTCGTAATTTCCCCTCATTTACTATTCTTGGTTGAATAACCCAATCTCTATAGGCATATAAGTTCTTTAAACGGACACCTGAATATTATATGTGCTTATGACTAGGGTTTTCCTAAATACCGAAATTCTACTTTTAGCACAACAATCCAGTCAGTAATACTCAGAGAG